AAGATCAATAAAACCCCGCTTTAAAGAACACATAGCTGATGTGAAGAATCGATGCTCCGAGAAGTATGTGGTCTGTGAACACGTACAGGATCGCCCCCGTCACTACATTAGATTTGATAGACCACAAAACCTCGCTAAAGAACACTGATTCCTTCCAAGGATGATTCGCGAGGATATTGAAATCAAAAAACATTCTAATTTCAATCGAGAAGATGGCTGGGTGCTACCATCTGCTTGGGATCCTATAATTAATAAATTTAAACCCCAACCCAAGCATACAACTGTAAGACTTCAAGATACTGTAAGTTCATACTGCGTAGATCGGAACAAAATTAATAATTTTAATCTGGAGGTAGCAGTGGTTAACTATGACATTGGGACGTCAAATACCTCAGTCCCCCCTGTGACCATGGGTGCTGTAAAGTGCTCGAAACGTCAGGAATATAAAATAAGTTAATATACGCGATAAAATCTGTAAAACTAATTTTATTTAAATGTATGTATATCTATTACTTTGTCACGTCCTTTATTAATACATGGGGAAATGCCTACGCATACCCGCAACGCGGGATCGCCGCATATTAGCAGCGCCGCGGGAACGCTTTCACACACATCCGCGGCCCCACCAGCGCCGACCGCCCCATGGCAACCCCTTCTCGGGGGAGGACCTCTCCTCCCCATTCTCATTCTTAGGCAAGGCGCACCAGGAACACAAGGCACGCGCCCCTCCACGGCCTCCAACTCCACCTGCGTATCGAACCCGCCCGAGCCCGATACGCAGAGGCCATGGGACCAGGAAAATCGAGCGTTTAGTAGCACCCGCTTTCCCGACCCCAGCAGCGGATCTGGTCTCTGGCTCTGCCGCCAACCAAGTGTCGGCCGCGGTGGGTAGGGAGAGCGGCGCCTCGCAATACCGACATTCCTCGCCCCCCGCGGCCCCACCACATCAACAGTGCGGCCCCGTCAGAGTCGCGGAGGATAGGTTGAGTGGCGCATCGCCATACCAACACTCCTCTTCCTCCGCGACTCCACCTCGGTTGCAGCGGTAGGAGGAGAGGACACCAGTTTCACCGCAGCCCACCGACACACATCCGAAGTGGGCTCGCCTAGCCCACTCGGAGTGAGAGTCTAAACAGTATGATTTCACATGCAACTTGAACTGATGCAAAGGAAAATCGGTAATATGCTTAAGCTGTCAGTCTCATTATCCAGTGGGGTAACAGAGACTTCGGACTTTCATTTTTTTTTATAGCGTAAGGATGATAAACGAGCACACAGTCCACCTGATGGTAAGTGGTTGCTGCGGCCCATAGACATCTATATTTATCTTCGTTTGCGAATTATAATGCAGATGCGTTGTCAGCCGTGTGGACTAAGATAGAATGCCTCTTTTCCAGTAAAAAGGCTCGCCGGTTCTCTACGCTCACCAGACGAAACACAGCAGCATTAAGCTACTATTTTACGCTGGTATTCTGTGAGAGCGTGGTCCTTCCCCGGTCGAGCCGACCCATTCGTGCTACAAATATACTATTAATATACCTGCACAATGGCTCTACCACGTTAAATTGTCATGATCTTGATGCACCTCTCTCGCTTCTGCAAATCATTACACGCTCCTGTATCTATGCATATATGCACGTCAGTTACGAGTTATACAAAGAATAATACAGAGATTTGTTAGGGGTATGTACCCTTAGCAAATCCCTGTACAGAGACAGAGAATATAGATATACATTGTTTTCTAGACTTCCTGCTCAGTAATATTTTATCATTTGTGCTACATCTCTCGTGCGCGTTGGTTCTAAGAACATAATCACATTGACCTATGACATAACAAATCACATTTTGTGATAAAAGACGTATAAATAACATTTAATTAAAACCAATATTGTTACAGTAATAATTATACACTGCATTTCATTACACATTAAGGAATACAAATGAGGAATGTGGCCGGTGGAAGGAAAAGGGGAGATCTCCCGCCGGGAAAGGTGTTGTGCCCGGGGAGCGGCCAACGCTCCGAGTAGTAATTCGGAGCTATTCTATATATACTGCTTTAACTTCGGAACTTTGTTAGCGCGATTTAGGCTTCGATGTGTTTTTCGCTTGTGGCGCGACGATAGCGCCGCCACAAGCAAGCAACAAGTAGTAGAGCCAGAGCCACGCTGCAGTTATATAATGGTTGTAGCACGAATAGAATAGCACCATGTCTAGAGAATGAATGAAGAACGATTGATGAAAAAAGTGTATAAGGCGAGTGTGAATGAAAGTGTTGGAAGGGGTAGACCTAGGCGGACGTTTCTAGACAAAATCAGGGACGTCTTGAAAAAAGGTCAGGTCACGATTGGGATGGTTCGACCGGCTGGGGAAGGAACACGCTCTCTCACAGATTACCAGCGTGAAATGGCAGCTTAATGCTGGTGTGTTTTGTATGGTGTTTATGATGGTAAAACAGTGTTAACAAACGAGCTAAAGAAAATAAAATCAACTTCAAAAATATGTTGGTGGAAAGACATAAGACTACCCTCAGGACGCCGTTCAAGCTCCCCCGCAATCTGCGCCAGCTGGACGATATTCGCTTCCGTATGATGCCATGAAAATCATCAACACCCGCTTTAGCAAACATGCCAGATGCACTGCAGAACACGGGAAGGCCCATCAGCATCCTGAAGACATTATTATATTGGACGCGAAGTGCATTATAGGCCATTTGCGTATAGCTATACCACAGGCTGCAGGTGTAAAAGGTTTGGCAGTAAGCCTTGAAAAGAGTAATTTTGACTTCTCTAGTACACCTAGCAAACATGCGGGCAACAATATTGCATCGAACCGCCAATGCCCTCCGCTCCCTCTGTATATCACAGTTGTCTGTGAGATTCTCTGTAACAATATGTGCTAAATATTTAAACTGTGACACCCTACTTAATGGCACTCCAAGGAGCTTGACTGGAGGCACAACCTGGGGTTTTTTTAGCACCAACTTGAAATACTATTAACTCACTCTTTTTAGTGTTATAGAGGATACCGTGCTTAGCAGCGTGTACTTCACAGACAGCCAACAGCTTACGCAATGCGCTCACCGATGGACTCAGCAACACCATGTCATCAGCATAGATAATATTATTAACCATTTGTCCGTCAATGGAACAGCCTATCCTGATGCTACTGAGTGCACCAATAAGCCCGTCAACGTAGAGACTGAACAGCAAAGGCGAGGATAACCCCCCCTGCCTCACCCCGCATTCCAAAATGTATTCGTCAGATAGCGTACCAGACCATCTGACCTGGTTAACTTGATGGCCATACCAATATTTCAACGTGGTGATTAATTCATTTGGAACAGCTATGTCACGTAATTTTGACCAAAGCAGATCATAGTCAACCAGGTCAAATGCCTTTGAGAGATCCAGAAACGCAGCATACACTGGCGTTTGTCTCTGGGTGTAGTATTTGACGGTATGCTTCAGCGACAGTATAGCACTTTCTGTTGATAGGCCAGGTCGAAAGCCAAACTGCGCATCATTTAATTGTATGAAGTTACTAAGCCATCGCTCAAGCAAGTTATGGTTATGAGTAATTTATTATGAAAACGCGGAGAAATAAAATAAAATAATTTGAAGGTCGTGGTCTCGAATCCGCCATTCGACTACTGTCGTGAACCACTTCTAACACAAGCATTTTAAAGCTTACCAGAAGTGGTTAAAGGGAATATTAGTAATGTTTAATAACATTACTAGTATTTAAAAAAAAAGATAGAAATAAAGAACGCGAGGAACGCAAAGGAATGCAATTTGACATACGGTATACGAGATGGATAAATTATAACAATCTATTGGAGGCCAAGATGTCTTTGAAGAGTTTTATATGTTGCATCTTACCTATTTCTACTAGGATGTAGGTTGCCTTTCTGCCTAGGAGTTTGTCTGGGTGGCTACCACGCTGTTACCTATGTCTGCCACCAAATAATAGTGCTTGCACTGTTCTGTTCCTGTCTAGAAGGGTAAAGACAGCCAGTATATTCCAGGCTGTGCGACATTCCATCTTAGTTTTTTTTATAGGATAAGGGTTACAAACGAGCACACAGTCCACCTGATGGTAAGTGGTTGCTGCGGCCCATAGACATCTACATCTATCCTCTATTACAAATCAAAATGAAGATGCGTTGTCACCCGTGAGGACTAAGATGGAATGCCTCATTTCCAGTAAAAAGGGCCTCCGGCCACCTGCACTCACCAAGCGAAACGCAGAGGTAAACCCCTACTTCACGCTGGTTTTCTGTGAGTTCGTGGTACTACCCCGGCTCGAGCCGGCCCATCCGTGTGACAGCAAAAGCTGCCGCGTGGCTCTACCACTGTTTAGTCCTCAGAGGTGACAACGCATCTGTCGGCTCCTTTATTTGAAGTTGGTTGCACATGTCCATGGGTTGCAGAGGTCACTTACCATCAGGTAGACTGTTGTTCGTTTGTCAATTAAATTTAAAAATAACATAATCCTTCTTCTCCTATTCATCAGGCCATGAATAGGAGAAGGACACAAATGAAGACATGAAATTAAAATATTCTTACAAACATCCGGCCCAAAAAGGTAACGTGCAACCCGTTCAAAGGGATCAAAATCCATCTACTACATATGGCAGTCGGGATAAATATTAGCTTTGTAAGGCGCGTGTCCAACAGTGAACAATTTCTGGCTTATAGTGATGATGATGATGATGATGACAAATAAAAAAATGTATTTGTGTAATTTTTTATTGACGGCTCTTGGCCTATCTTTCTAATAGGAAAAAACAATAGAGCAGGAAACTAACAAATCTAACCTTGTTTGGAATAAGGTCCATTCATGGTTGCATTAGTCACATAGTATCTCTAACGTGACTCAGTATTAAGTGTAGTCAGTCGTCAGTCTCAGTATACTAGGTACTTAGGATACTCAAGGTTTAAATTCATAGTCGAGAAGTGTTTGTAGCAAATGAAGAAGAACAGTATTGTTTCTTTTTCAGAATGCGGTCTATTTTAGCTTGGGTCCTCTTGGCCCTGTTTGTGTGTGTGAACGCCCGTACAACATACAAACAGCAACCCGTCACCGCGCAGATCACCTCACTAACTGACAAGGTAAATAATAATTAATAAAATGTAATTAAAAATTAAAAATCTGATTTACCACGTTTTCGGCGGTGAAGGAAAACATTGTGAAGATACTTGCATGTTAGAGAAATAAAAAAAAATATTTCGAAGACACGTGAAGTTCGCCAACACGCATTGGGGCAGCGCGGAGGAAATTTCCTTTCCCTAAAACCCTCTCAGAAATGAGGGGAGGATAGTGGCCATCAGTGGGACGTATATAGGCTGTAACTATAAAAATTTAAAAAAATTAAAAACTTACATGTTATAAAAAGATTTCCCTGAATTTTGGGTGGTATAAGTCAACGCTTGTATATAACACACAAGTAAATAGATGACAACATAATATCTAATGAATAGTCACTATCCTGAGTAAAAGTACAGTAGCCTGTATACATAAATATTCACGTTTGTCGTTCGGGTATGTAGACAGATATAACACAGACTATTCTATTTTCTATTCTATTACTAGTATTCTATTTTGCTCGATCCTGACAAAACTTGTCGATTTTTTAATACATCCACATATGTACACATACTCGTCAATTAAGGGTAGCGTACGGGAGGGTAGTATGGTCATCCTGTTAATATGGTGATACGATAGTTGTTCATCAGTTCAGCGCTATCAAATAATAAAGGGCCAAAAGGCAAAAGGGCGGTGCTTTATCAACACACCATTTTGACACTTGACATTATCTGTACAAATAAATAAAATTGAAGTGGCGTGTTTGTAATGTCAAAATTACAGCTTTTTACTAAATATGAAATGCATATGAAAGTATATATGGCACTTATAACAAAAATACAATTTTTAAAATTTTTGTCTGTCTGTCTGTTTGTTCCGGCTAATCTCCGAAACGGCTGGACCGATTTTGACGGGACTTTCACTGGCAGATAGCTGATGCCATAAGGAGTAACGTAGGCTACTTTTATTTTAGAAAAAGTTAAAACCCTAAATTACACGCGAGCGAGTAAATATGTTTAATAGTTGGTTTTATAGGGCGACAAAACTTAAGGTGACCATATTACCCTCACACACTTGTCTTAATTTGGCTTATCTTCAATATTTTTCGATAAAATTCCAGTTTAAATACAAACTGAGCGACGTTAGTTGCTTTAATTATGTGACGATGGCGTGCACAAAAAATAGAAATATACTTAATTATAAATTACAATAAAATGTTAACCGACGGCGAGGGGTAGCAGAGCGTGGTTACGACGAAATTTATGAGAGGCGAACATCTACGTCCAAAAGTCGATTGCTTAAGCTCTTCATAACACGATAATTGGTGTTGACTCATTGCAGAATAAAAACACGGAAATTGTTACACGGTCGGGAAAAAACAAGTAGTCGAGACGGTTAACAGTAATTAAAGTAGTTGAATGATTGTATGTATGTAGCCTTTGTTTATAGAACGACTATGATGCTAAATATTTTACGTGCAGAGTGATACTGCAGCTATATTATGGTTGTAGCACGAATGGGTCGTATCAACCACAGAAGGACCACTCTAACACAATACCAGTGTAAAGTTTTTTTTTTATAGGATAGGGTGACAAACGAGCACACGTCTATCATCAATAAAGACTCAAAATGCAGATGCGTTGCCACCCGTGAGGACTAAGATGGAATGCCTCTTTGCCAGTAATAAGGGTCTCCGGTTCTCTACGCTCACCATGCGAAACACAGCAGCGTTAAGCTGCTATTTTACGCTGGTTTTCTGTGTGGTCCTTCCCCGGTCGAGCCGACCCATTCGTGCTACAACTATACTACTAATATAGCCGCAGCATGGCTCTACCACGTGAAAGTAGCAGCTTAATCCTGCTGTGTTTCGTATGCTGATGATAGAGAACTGGAGACCCTTTTTATTGGAAACGAGGCATTCTATCTTAGTTATCAGGGGAGACAACGCATTTGTATTTTGATTCTTAATCGAGGATAAATGTAGATGTCTATGGGCCACACCATCCACTTACCATCAGGTGGACAGTGTGTATCAACAAGCCACTGCCGTTAAAATCATTCAAGGTTTCCAGTTAATACATTCAAATAGAGGAAACTATACTAAATATTCCGTTACCCGCTCCCGTCTCCGCTACGCTTTCATCTTTCATCCATACCTTTACAGTAATCCATTAATCATCTGCACTGTTTCATAACCAAATGATAAGAAGTTACCATACAAATTATGGAAATTAGACTGAGTCGGTTACGTCATGTCAGTATGTTTGATACAGTAACTAGCGATCCGCCCCAGCTTCGCACGGGTGATTTCTGAACAGCGCCACCTGTCGGGTCCAATTGTGAATCTAAACCATTCTCGAATCAACCTAATCACACACACTAAATTTTATTAAAATCGATCCAGCCGTTTAGGCAGTGGCGGGCCACGTGTCTACAGGCGCAAGGTTAATAATTTAAAATTAAAAATTTTGTACAACCAACTTCAATATAAATTATTAAGAATAACCCAAAAACTATTGCTCAGACCTTGGTCAAATTTATATGGCACCACATGTGAAGCGCCAGCTTTCAAATAAAAAAAGAATCATCGAAGTCGGTTCACCCAATAATAAGTTATGAGGTAGGTAACACACATAATAAACATACAGTCGAATTGAGTACCGTCTCCTTTTTGGAAGTCGGCAGAAATAATTTAAAATAAAAAATTTTGTACAGCCGACTTCAATATAAGTTATTAAGAATAACTCAAATAACTCAAAAACGATTGGTCTGACCTTCTTCAAATTCATATGGGACCACACGAGAAGTATCAGCTTTCATATAAAAAAAAGAATCATCGAAATCAGTTCACCCAGTAAAAAGTTATGAGGTAACACACATAAAAAAACATACGCGTCGAATTGAGTACCGTCTCCTTTTTGGAAGTCGGCAGAAAAGGGGCGCGCGCTGAAGTAATTAAGGGAAAAAAATCGTCTAGTTGATTACTCCTCCATCACACTCACTCTTTCATCACAGTTATCATTCACGCCCACCTGTTAAGGGTACACGAGTCCTAATTATTTTTCAACTATAATATATTTTATATTATAAATTATAACTTATGGCTCCCAGGGAGTGCCTAACTGCTAGCCTAGGACGCTGTCGACATTTAATCCTCTGCGTGTAGAAGCAGTTCACTCACATACACACGGATAGAAGAATTATGTTTATTTAAAGATGGCCTTTATGGATGGATACTTTAGGGCCTATTTTTCAATAATCAAGCGATAAAAGTTATCCATCAAAGAAATAATAATTTGACATCAATATAAAAGTGAAACAATCGATGTATAATAATAAGAACACCAGCGTAAAATAATAACAGCTTAATGCACAAAACACAACATGTTTCGTATGGTGAGTGTAGAGAACCGGATACCCTTTTTACTGGAAAAGAAGCATTCTACCTTGGTCCTCACATCTGACAACGCATTCTGCATTTTGATTCTTAATTGAGTATTAATGTGTAGGTATATCTATGGACCACAGTATCCACTGACCGTCAAGTGGACTGTGTGCTCATTTGCCACACTTATTCCATAAAAAAAAAAACTTCATTCGTGCTATTTTTAATTGGAAATGTTGTATATTATTGTATTGCGGATTAGGTGTACCCAAAACAATAAAATATCAATTATATAATATCCTAATATAGATACAGCATTATACGACATGCGGATATACCTAATATTGCACTCTTACAAAAATGTTAATATCAGCGTCATCAATGTTACATTCAGTCACAGCCTATAAAAGTCCACCGCTGAATAAAGGACTCCCCCATATATTGCCTCACAGTAGGGGTATTGCCATAGTTTGACAATTATTTCATTAATAAAAATTAATGAGAGCATCCACGACTTTTTCTGCCACCAAGGCGGCGCAACTAGAAAGTGAGGTTATAATATTTGACAAATTTCATAGCGAGGAAATTAATTTGTTCGGCAAATGTAAAGGTTATTGTTTCTTTCTGCACTATTAGCTATATTTTATATTTATAAGATTAAAAATAAATAAACCAAATATTCATAAAAGTAGAAAATATAAAAAATATTTTAATTAAAGAGCAAACCACTGACGCATTGTTTTGTGTATTAATTTCATACTCTAGAAACTGATAAACTTTTATTACCTCAGTGTAAAAAATAATTATTTTACACTGAGGTAAAATTTAACAAAAAACTTTACCTCAGTGTCAACTAACGACATCTGGTGAGCAGAATATTATTAGTCCTCATTAAATAAAAATACAATATGAAGGAACAAATATGTAGTATAGTCCTTTGCAGCCTATATAAGTCCTCTACCTAACATAGACCGCCATTATAAATTTAAATGTTGCCATAGTTGCCACGCTTGGCAGGCGGTTTGGCGACCTCAGTTTTTTTATAATTGTGATTTGTTCGATTTGTTATACCAATACTAATTATCTATAATGTTGCACATTTACATAAAATAATTCTAATCTCAAAAAATTCTAAACATAAACATTAAGTATTCAGTGGCATTCGTGCCAAATTTTTAAGAAAAAAAAAGTAAAAATATAATGATAGGCTTCCGTTGTTGCTCGGAAACAAAAAGGTTTAAAAACTGCTCTATTTCACCGTTTGTTTTATATATGCAAATTAATTTTTTACTTAATTTGGTCCGACGTTTAGCTTTAAGGTACCTTGAAAAAACACGTTACAGATTCTATCACATAATTGAGGAAAACCTTCTTCATGACGCACAAATTATCATATGCCACACCCGCAAAGCTCGAGGGAAATCTACTCTATTTTGTTAACCTCTATAGTTTATTCCCATTACACGGCAGATGTAATAAACATTTGGCATGTTTTGGTACATTTTTAATTTTCTGCCGACTTCAAAAAGGATACGGTACTTTCGACTGTATGTTTTTTATGTGTGTTACCTCATAACTTTTTACTGGGTGAAACGATTTCGATGATTCTTTTTTTATTTATAAAGCCGGTGCTTCACATGT